CCTCCGAACTGTAGTAGGCTTTAGAGCTCAAGAAAATTTTGAGTGTTTGCTTGTCTCTTGCGGTTGGGAAGGGCATTCCAGACTTTCACAATACTATGTTTAACGTTTTTTGAGATGTACGAATAATGAGCAGTTTCAGTTTTCAGATTCTCTTCAAACCGAGTATTATGGCTGTGATCTGATTTGAATTTTTCAAAAATATCTGGATTTTCTGAGATAAACTTTGTGCATTCAATAATGTAAATGTTAAAAACTGTTGGAAGACTAAACTTCGTTGACCAGTCAGAAACAACTACTCCGAGGGCAAATACCCCTACCGGCGTTGAACTACACTGATTGGTCTGAGCTTTCGTTGGCAATGAAAATTGTTAGAAAGTTTTTTCAGGTAATGACCAACGTGAAATCAGGGACATAAAGAGTCCCTGTTTGGGAATCGACCCACTGAGTAGTGGAATCCGCATTCCTGTGCCAGTCCTTGACGCATTTCGTCCTTGGTAGGACTCATCACGATATAGGCTGAAGCTCCCTGTCCAAGCAAAATTGAACTTCGTTGACCAGTCAGAAACAACTACTCCGAGGGCAAATACCCCTACCGGCGTTGAACTCCACTGATTGGTCTGAGCTTTCGTTTGCAATGAAAATTGTTAGAAAGTTTTTTCAGGTAATGACCAACGTGAAATCAGGGACATAAAGAGTCCCTGTTTGGGAATCGACCCACTGAGTAGTGGACCCCGCATTCCCGTGCCAGTCCTTGACGCGTTTCGTCCTTGTTAGGACTCATCAGAAGGATATAGGCTGAAGCTCCCTTTCCCTGATTTCATGTTGGTCATTACCTGAAAAAACTTTCTAACAATTTTCATTGCCAACGAAAGCTCAGACCAATCAGTGGAGTTCAACGCCGGTAGGGGTATTTGCCCTCGGAGTAGTTGTTTCTGACTGGTTAACGAAGTTCAATTTTGCTTGGACAGGGAGCTTCAGCCTATATCGTGATGAGTCCTACCAAGGACGAAACGTGTCAAGGACTGGCACGGGAATGCGGGGTCCACTACTCAGTGGGTCGATTCCCAAACAGGGCTCTTTATGTCCCTGATTTCACGTTGGTCATTACCTGAAAAAACTTTCTAACAATTTTCATTGCCAACGAAAGCTCCGACCAATCAGTGGAGTTCAACGCCGGTAGGGGTATTTGCCCTCGGAGTAGTTGTTTCTGACTGGTTAACGAAGTTCAATTTTGCTTGGACAGGGAGCTTCAGCCTATATCGTGATGAGTCCTACCAAGGACGAAACGCGTCAAGGACTGGCACGGGAATGCGGGGTCCACTACTCAGTGGGTCGATTCCCAAACAGGGACTCTTATGTCCCTGATTTCACGTTGGTCATTACTTGAAAAAACTTTCTAACAATGTTGGAAGACTGTTTGCAATAAAGAGATTTCTGCAGCTTTCTCTGTTTGCTTTTTGAAAAATTGTTCTCAAACACCGTTTCTGCAACACAAGGATTCTCTCTGCCTTCGTTAAGGGCCCCATACACTACGATGAAACACGACGGTTCTCATCGCCACGATGAAACACGTCGTTCCAAAACCGAAGTGTGTGGTAGAAAACCGTTCGTGTGTACGAAATGTTGAACCGTCGTGCCAAAAATCAAGCTCGGACTGAATTTTAAACCGACGATGAAACACGACGGTTTTCTACCACACACTTCGGTTTTAGAACGACGTGTTTCATCGTGGCGATGAAAACCGTCGTGTTTCATCGTAGTGTATGGGGCCCTTTACACCACCCCAGAAGATCACACCATACCCCACCCTTATGGTTCATAACAACATCCTTGGCTTGGGAACACATTGGAAGCAGGATCGCTCAAACATGTTCCTGCTTATGTTGCTATGGTCCTGCCTCATTCTGCTCCAATTTCCACCCCAGCAACATCTTATATTTTTGAGATACACACTGGTAGCATTTCAACAGTCTAGTCGTAGGAATAGAGAGAGCTCGAGACACCGTTGCCGAATATATCGTAATAAGTGTTTATCTCTGTATGTTGGTATTTTAGACGAAGGGAGTTAATCTAAATTAACCCGTCCCTCTGTGAAATGCGAGCCTCTGTATCTTGGTATTTTTGATGAAAAGAGCTAATCGAAGTATTGAATTGAAACTAATCCTTCCTGGGATAGGTGGCCTCTCTGCGCTTCTGTAGGGTTTTTATTTTTATTTTTTTCTTAAAGATTATTAGGAGGACGGGTTAGTTGCAATTCAATCCTTGGATTAGCTCTTTTCGTTTAAAATACCACCATACAAAGACTAGCATACATTACGAAGACGGGTTAGTTTGGATTAGCTCTTTTCGTTTAAAATACCAACATATAAAGACTAGCATTTATTACAAAAGGACGGGTTAGTTTGAATTAGCTCTTTTCGTCTAAAATACTAACATGCAAAGACTAGTATTCATTACAAAAGGACGGGTTACTTTGGAATAGCTCTTTTCGTCTAAAATATCAATATACAAAAACTAGCATTTAGTATGAGGACGGGTTAGCTTGGATTAGCTCTTCTCGTCTAAAATACCAACATACACCGACTAGCATTGATTACAAAAGTACGAGTAACTTTGAGTTAGTTAGCACCTAAACATTCTGGTATAGGATTCGGCACCTAGGCATATTTCATTGGTCCGTTTGAATTCGGACCGCCAATTGATGCGGAGTGCCGAACTCGGTACTTGAATGTTGAACGGTGCTGAGCCTCAGGTCAGAATGGTCCATTAGCAACAGCCATGTGGAGTGCCGAATCTAAGGTCAAAATGTTAAACAGTGCTGAGTATCAGGTCCGAATGTTGCCATACGTTTGGCGCGGTTTTTATATTAAATCAGCTGTCCACCTCCTTCGTGTTCCTCTTAGCTACAATTTTGCGACGGATGCGGTTTATTTCGCCGTTGCATGTGTTCTTGTGCTTAAACATGCAAGATGAGTTTGCCTGGATCATTTAAACACTTTCAATGTGGTGAGCAAATTTACCGAGCCAACATTTTGGAGGAAAACGATATAAAGCAATGGATAGAAGAGTATAGTGATATAACATACACGAATTGGAATGTAAAGTCAGCGAAGAATAATTAGGTAAACCAGATTCAAATGCAGGTTTGTGTTCAATGTCAATTCAATGACGTAGAATCTTCTTGGATGCGAATAGACTTTGGAAATTACATTTTTTAGATATGTTTTTGTATGCCATCATAGTGCTTATAAAAAAGTGGATCAAGAAAATAATAAGAAAGGAAAATCCAAAAACTGCTGTTGCCCTGGCTTCAATTGATATTTCAATTAAACTAAGCACGACAGATACCAAAAAAAGATAAATATATTAGGGTATTTATTTTCAAAATTTTCTACTCTAATTTGCCAGGTTTCAGGTTTTTATAATCCCCCCCCTGGGTCCGCCAATGCAAATAATTGTCCAAGATTTTTTGAAATGTAATGTAAAATAAATAAAATAAATGTGTAACAAAAAGTAAATAAAGTTTGTTTGTATTGATTTTGTGCCGCGCTAACGGAGTTACATTCCAACCTGCAGTTGGGCACTGTTTAACATTTTGACTTTTGATTCGGCACTCCACATAGTATATGTATATACCATTCCGACCTGAGGTTCAGCACCGTTCAACATTCAAGTGCGGATTTCGGCACTCCGCATTAATTGGCGGTCCGAATTCAAACGGACCAATGAAATATGCCTAGGTGCCGAATCCTATACCGGAATGTTTAGATGCCCCCGGGTGTGATTTGATTGCAGGATGAGGCAGGATCATAGCAACACAAGCAGGAACATGTTCGAGCGACCCTGCTCGCTGTTCTCGTGTTCGTTATCGCTGTCACAATTATCGCAGTTGGAATCTTAGTCGGAAGCTAGTTCCATAATTTTTTGATTCACCATTTTGGCCAGGCGTTGGATTTCGGCTGTTTTAACGTCATCGTGGGTTTTGAATGCACTGGCGGCGATTTTTAATTTTCGATTTTCGCTCGAGATAACTTCTACTGCCTTGTCGTTTTGCAGGCGAACCACATCTTGTTTCAATGCTTCGTTTTCTTGGTGTAGCCGTTTACACTTCTTTTCGAAGGTCCTGGATTTGTTGCAGGATCTGCTGCCGCCAATCACTGACCTATGGTTGGTTCATGATGATCTTCCACTTATCACATTGGATCACTGACTTCACAATTCCACTTTGGAAACAAGCAGAGTGGAGGACTATTGCTTCGACGGTTGCAAGTAATTGAATGGTTGCAGATGTGAAGAAAATCTTCTAAAGATGTTTGTCGATCTTTTGCTATCTTTATTTGTTGTTTTATTTTTAATTTGTTGTTTCTTCTCTCACTAAATAAGAATTGTTGGCTGGTATTTAAATTTTTTTTGTGTTTTGTTAGTGTAACATGCTTTCAGGCGTAACGATTAGGTATAATAATGTTATGCTGTCTACATTTACATAAAAATGTTGAGCTATTTTCTGAGTGTTGATATTTAGTAGGTATACAGTGTTTCTAACACAGGACAGATAAAAGACCCATATTTGTTTTGTAGTAAATGTCTGTATGTTTGTCAGCAAACAAAGTGCAGAAGTCATCGAAGCGTTGTTTTTCAGATCAATTTCCCTCTCGAAATCAAATTCTTCGATATCATATATATCTTCGGAATCTTTAATTTCTATTTTTCACTGGGACATTGATTTGTTCGAAGCATGATTTGAATACTCATCAGGGCTTGATAAAGAAATCATCAATGATGCATGTAGTGGATAGTTTCAATAAATTTTCTCCTAAAATGCCTATAGTTCAATCCTCCGCCAATTTCAAAAATAAAAAGGAGAATAAAACCACTTATTGAGCAATAATGGTTATGTATTTATTCGTTATGGTTCTTTGGTCATACCACGGTAACGATGACCACCACGTCTCCTCCTGCAGAACACCAGCAGGACCGCTTTGGCGGCTGGCGAGCAGCAGCGGCACCCAACAGCAGAAAATCGGGGCTCTCGGCAGTGTGTTTCGCGGCTCGCAGCAAGTTCCAAATCGCGTCTCTCATGGCTATATAAAAACAATACGACACGCGATAGCTATACGAACGAAGCTTTTCATCCGAAAGCTTTTCATTCGAAAATACGACATTTTTCCTCACGGGATTTTTATGTGAAATAATTTAGGTGAAACAAAAAAAAAATTATATAAATGGATAACGAGGCTAATAGACCCACGGAAAATGGGGATGATCCATCGGTCTCAGCGGCTATGTCAAAAACTACAACGATTAGCACAATTGCTGTCCAAAGTGGTGGAACCAGGATTGTTATTGCCTTACTCCATGTATGTGACAATTTTTTTTTTGTACATCAATAACTAATCAAAACTAATATTGATTGAACTCAATATAAAGAAATAACAATACATTATTAGTCTAACTACTAATTGAAGAAAGTTTCTAAACAGACATAAGATAATACTCATGTCATTTAAATCTCAATACAATTATAGATAATAATTTATCTTTCTCGAACTGTTAACATGTCTTCATAATTTTAAAGATCGCAACAGGTGGTCATTATATGCCGTTTACCTACATTTCATGTCACAGATGCGTTACTTTTTCTAACGAACCTTAACTAAAGAATAAAGAACTATCGGTTCTTTGCCGTTCCTCGACTAGCTAATTGGCTTACGTATAATTTTCTATCCTATTATTTTCAAACCATTTATTTTCTTCCAAGTGGAATAAAAACAGCAACGTCTCTGAAAATTGATTTTTTGTTTGATAAATTCAAGGAATTAAATAATAGTTACCGGATGCTAGGTAGATATATACAGGATGTTGAAAATTAACGTGTGTTAGATGAAGATGATGCTTTTGGAGAATAGAGACTTGAAATTCGAGCCATGCGGTAGAGGAAATTCAGGAAGCTAAAATTGAAAATTAGAAAAGTACATTTCATTAAAAACGTTAAATCCATGCATGACCGAAGTAAATCGATTCCTCATTTCAAGATGTGACTAATTTTTCGATATTCGGCTTTTCACGTTTAGGCAATAAATGCAATTCGCTTTTGCCAATATAATATCCCATTTGCATTCCCAAGAAAATGCGTAGGATTGCTAAACAACGCTTTGTATAAATTGCGATTTTATCGCCGAAGAATTATTAATATGTTTACTGAAGACAAATAATAATATACGTACCTATGCATTTTCAATTATCCCCATAAGCTATACTGTCGTGAAATTAATAAGCTTAAAAAGGCTGATCCCTCAGCGGCTTTTTTCAACATTTTCAATTAAGCTTTACCTGTTTTTGAAGTGCAAATCGGTCGCATTAAATATAGCTAACCCAAAAATAGTCGGTGACACACGGAAACTTGAATTTCTGCTTCAACCAAACGAACGGTTGAAGGTTACTGGTTCACATTAAATACAAAATATTTGTTATACAAAAATAAACAAAAACTATTGTTTAAATATACATAATTATTTTCTTTTTTTAAGTGAAAGCTATAAATACACGATTGGTCATGACGAATGCGAGCTGAGATTGAATTAAAATTTGTTAATTAAGAAAGGTTAAATAATAGACGATAAAACTCAAGGTTAAAATTATGGCTTTCAAAATATAACCAATCGGGAATTATAGTGTATCTTCTCAAAATGGATAATCTGACCATATAGGTACGATACAAGAACAAACAGTTTAAACGGCTATAATTTCATGATGGAGAAACTTAATCTCGTGTAAAGTATGCACTTTCTTTTCACGCACTTGTTTGGAAGGATATAGGTATGCCAATACGGACAGCCTTTAATTAACAATTTTTTAAAAGAAGCCACAGTCGATTTATTATATTACTTTATATTCTATAAAGTAATATAATAATATAATAATAATTAGGTATCTTTCTTTATGAATAAATGGGTTGTCTTCAAGTTTCAGTAAGAATTTAACTTAAAAGAATTTCGGGAAATATTTCTAAGTAAGAAGGAGCGGAGGAAATCTCTCGTCTGACAACCTTCTCAGTCACTTGTCACTTCTTCATAAAAAAAGATATTATAATTATTAGATATTTACCTATCAAAGAGATCATCATCGTCATAGTCCAATAGTCTTGCTAGACATGTTGTGAACTCAGAACGTCAGGACACGCGTTGTAACATTGAAGGATAGTCGTTTTGTATTTCCCAGTTCGCTTAATATGGAAACGTTAGTTCGGTAAGCTGTATAAGGAACTCTTAGCATTCGCCTCCAAGTCCATATTTCAAATGCGTGCGTATATGGTATATGCGGTGGCGATCTGCCTTTCTAATAGTTCAGAGCCATATAAAAATATGAAAAAGACAAGAAACTGGACAAGCGACATTTTGGTGTCTTTCGTGATATTGTCACGCCATATGTTAGTTAGTCTTGTCATGACTGATCGTGCTTGTTGAATGCTCCGACTGGTTTCAACCTCGCAGCCACCTGAATTGTCGATCAAAGAACCGAGGTATACAAAACTCTGGACTACCTGACAACGATCTACTGATGTTTTTTCAGGATGATTTAGACCCTGAGATAGGGCCTGTTTAGTGGAGTCATTTGTTTTTGTCTTGCATTTTGAGGGATGAATGTGGCTAGTTAGCTGATGAGAATATAAGTGGTTTTAATGCCTGACCCCTGTTCGAAATGTCCACAGAATGTTTCGGCAGAAAACTCGATTTCGAACTGTGATTACCGTCTGGTGATTTTTCAGCGTTATTTTCACAACAAAACCTTTTATTCTCTCGATTGTCAGACAAAAAGTAAACGCGGAAGGTTCTTTTCTTTTCTCTTGGAAGTTGACACCAATTCCCACTTTTTCAGCTATTGAAAAGCATCTGGTATTTTTCATGAGTGAATTATTTATCAATGTCAATCTTTTATTTAAAAGCCAGAAACTTTGAGATCATTAAAAAAAATTCTTCATCAATTTTTTTCTTCTGCAAATTTTCGAACAGGAGGCAGGCATTAAAATCACCCATATTCTTCAGTTTAGTAGCCACATTCAACCCTCAAAATGCCAGACAAAAAAAAATGACTCCACTAAACAGCCCCTATCTCACTCATTTATGGACGTCATAAAGTACACACATGGGAACTTCGGACCATTGAGGTGTTGATGAGCTGTTACCCTTCATCGGAGGTAGCTTATGTAAAGACTTTCTTTCTTTTCTCTTGAAGAAACTTATTGTAATTTTCATAAATAGATCAACCTTTATCACCGAAATTAAATCGTGGTTTTATTAATTACTTAAATTATAGAGTCGATAATATCTGTTTCATAATGAACTTCATTATGATACAGATTTTTCAGCCACTGGAATCGAGTTATTTTGAACATGAACAATGTTTATATAAAAATAAGACTTGTTTTGGATTGTTTCTATTAGTATTTACCTAAAGAAACAACAACAAATTAATAAATCGAGTGCAGAATTTATCCCCAAATGATGTCCAGATCTTAATCACAGAACATATCACCTATAGAAAAATATCTCAAATGGAAGAATCGCGACAAAGGTTTTTAGTTAGGTTTTCATTCAACGATGGCGACACTGTCGGGAGATAAGAGAAATTTACAGGTATCTGTGGCGTGGACAGTGATTTGTGTTGGTTGGTTTTGTCATTTATTTTGTCATTTTAAAAGTCAAAATTTGAATTTTTAAATTGTGTTGTTGTACCCCACGGTTTCTACGCGCGGTAAAGTGAAAATTCAAAAAGTTTTGGTTGAAAAAAAACCTAATTTTTGTTCGTATTTTTTTGTATTTATTCGTTTGTTTCGTTTCGTTCGTATTTGTATTTATTATTCGTATTTACTTTGCGATCTACCTATAACTGCGTGACTCTTGCTAACTTACTAACTCTTTTTGCACTATGTTCGACATCGGAAACTTCCTGCCAGTCATAGTTTTTAAAAAAGTGAGGCGAAAAGAGCTAAGAGGAGTCAGCAAGCCAAATGCAGTTGAACATTAAAAATTATACAAAAATAATAAAAATATATGAAAAAAATCAATTCGCCTTTTTGTCAAGAATACTCGATTAGTTGGGTTTTCAGTCAACGAGGGCGCCGTAATTCATAACCGGTACATACCATTGCAGATACTTTTCTAGAGGTGATATGTTCTGTGATCTTAATTTTCGAAATTGTCAATAGTTGTCAACAATTAATTGTCACCGGTTGAGAAGTTTACTATTCTAAATATAAATATGTATTATTGTGGTGCCGGCCAATCGACACTGTTTTGAAGGATTTTGAAGGGTTTTTGTCACTCAGTTGAACGAAAGTCGTCAAAAAAGTCTGACAACACTGCTACGACATCATTGTTCTTTGTGCATCTCTGGGTCGGCACGGTCCATGCGTTTGTATTTTGTGAATTTGAGTATTCCACCTGGCATATTTTTATACTTTGCGAACTTTGGGACCAGGCAGGCATTAGAAAGCAACGGCTTTGATCGGGCAGGCAGTCAGAAATGTTCTTCTAATGCCTTTAACTGTGATATATTTAATTTTCACTCGAAACGCGATGAGTCGAATTTTGAGAAAAATTTCAGTCGATTTTTATTTGACAGGCGCTATTTAGCAACTGATTTAGGTAGGCAGGCATTCGAAATCATACTTGGGGGTGTTTGTTCTATGTTCACACAAATTTTCATGCAAAACGCGATGAGTCGGTTTTTGCTTTTACAAAACCTCGTTAAACATTTTTTTATTAATAAACGCAACCGATACGAGCAGGCAGGCACGCGATTTCGTATTGTTCATGATTGATTCTACATTTCCTAAATTTTTCAGCCATAATAAAATCAGCCGGATTTTTTTTCACTGGCTCTTGTACTATGAGACCACATGCTGCACTAGGTTATTCTAAGATGCTGGTAAGGTGGACAAGCATTAAGAATTTCATCCTGCTGAGAAGAAGCAATAAGAGTAGCATCGTCTGCAAACTTTAATTTGGTTCCACCAAGAGTTACACCACGGTGCCAACCGTCCAGTACCTGTCTCATCACAAATTTGGAATAGATGTTAAACAACATCGGCGATAACACACATCCCTGATGAACTCCTTTTCTTGTTGTAGTCTGGTCAGACATGTTACCGTCAATTCTTACTCGAGCTGTGTTTCATTCATAGAGCTTCTGTATGAGAAATATCAGGTGGTGAGGAATTTCTCATAGTTTAGGCCACTTTTCGTTGTCAAATGCTTAAGATTAGTCCACAAAGCAGATATAGACTGGAAAGTAATGCTCTCTGAGCCTTTTCAATAATCTGCCTCAAGTTCAAGATCTGTTCGCGCGTACCACGTTC